CTGGACGTCTGCAGCCCAAGTTGAGCAAACACTTCAATGGGGGCCCAGAATACTTACGATCTGGGTCTACCACAACCCTGATGAAGGTCAGGTGCCAATGCTGCCACGCCAGCTGAGAGTCGGAGTGGAAGCCGATTGAGGGAGATGAAGGAATCACAAGAGAGCATTTATTCAATGGGGGTGGGACTTATGGGGAAAGCTTGGATGCTTCTGAACCCTAGAGGACCTTCAGCTCTACAAAAGGGTAGTTTCAAAATCACATAAAGTAATAGTCCCACTTTATGAGCCCCGCTACATGGAATAGAGTGTCTAGTTCTGGTCATCACAATATGAAAAGGATGCCGAAGCTCTAGAAAGACTCTAGAAAGTGTGCAGAGAATAGCCACAAAGATGATCAGGAATCGAGAGGCTAAATTGTATGATGAACCACTGATGGAACTGGGTACGTCTAGTCTACCAAAGAGAAGGACTAGGGGGGACATGATACCAGTCTTCCAATATTTGGGGGCCGGCCACGGAGAAGGTGTCAACCTATTCTCCAAAGCACCTGAGGGCAAGACAGGTGCGGAAGACCATTAGAGGGAGATCCACTCTGGAAATAAGGAGGTGATGGGGAGAGTGGCCAGTGGAAGAGCTGACCTCCAGAAGTTATGGCTGCTCCATCACTGGAGGGGTTTAAGAAGAGATTTGTCCAGGATGCTATAGGGCTCCTTCTTGAGCAGGGAGTTTGACCGTAAAAACCTCCAGTGTCCCTTCCAACTCCATTATTCTGTGTCCTGTGACAGACAGAAGACTGCCAGTTGAGAGGGAGGCCAAGAAGAGGACAGACAGGAGCTGCTGCAATTAAGCTCTGGGTTCATTCCAGTCCCACAACTTCCACAGCTTCAGGCTTTGCCAGTGCCCAGAGGCCAAGGGTTCCTGGGAGAGGCCACATGTCCTATGAGGAAGTTCACCAAGAAGGGGAGACCAGCATCAGATGAAAGAACTTCCTACCCCCCCTGGGTCTCCAGTTCCATTGTCTGAGGGGGGGGGACGGGGACTACTTTTCTCACCTGACTAGCTCTGATCCTTGCCTTGCCATTGGCTCAAGTGCTGCAGGGAGGGGGACTCTTCCGCCCCTTCCTCATTTTTGCAGGGGGAAAAGTTTAGGGCACCTCTGCTTGCTGCATAAGGGGGTCCAAACAGGATTGCCCCAAAACCTGCCTGGAAGTCTTGCCAGTTTTACTTCCCTGCCTCTCCTAAAGGCCTTCAGGACAACTGTCCTGTGTTTGTGGTCCATTATGTCCTCCCTGGCCAGCCCAGAGCACATCAACAGAAACACAAGCTTTGGGTCCTGGGCCTCTGCCTCTGACCCTCCACCGCAGCAGCTGACAACTAGCACAATAAAACAGTAGTCAGGAAACCACAATTATTATTATTATTCCTAAAAATGATAAAAACAAAGCACAGCCGTAGTAAAAGGACTGATTCCTGAAGGGCTCCTTGGATGTCTGCCCACATCTGCCCTCCTGTCTTAGCATGCCCAGGTGGAGCTTACTTCTGTCCCGAGACTGGAAGGCCTTCCATTCCATTCCATGACTCTCCCCATCCAGGCACGGTCAAGACTTCCTGCCCATCTCCCTGTCCCAGGGAGCCTCTGGCTGAGATTCATGCTGACAGATGGCCTCTGCAGTGGCTTCTCTCAGATTTGGGGTTGGGTGGGCAGAATAGCTGACTCCAAGCACTGCAGACAACGTAGACCTCCACAGCTGCTCATACTGAAGACCCCGCGCCATCCGTCAAGCTGGCCAAGAGTAACCAATGCGGTGCCAGTCTCAGGCCCAGGTCTGCCCTCTGACTGAGAGTGATCCAGGGCCCCCATAATTGCCACCTCATAGGGGTGCCTCTTCTGGTTGGGGTAAGCGCAGAGACTTTTCCATGTTTTTGCATTAAACGCTCGAAGAACTTTGCCACCAGCCTTGGCTGCCTCACTCTGAAGAATTCTTTAAAAATGGTCTTTCTAGTGGCTTCAATTATCCATTCCTCTCAGCCTCTCTTCTCTTTCCATTCGGCCCCAGTTCTGGTCACCCGTTAAAATCAGGGCCTGGCGTTAAAAAGCTTCCTCCCTTCCTTTGTAGATCCTTTCACCCAGTCAGAGCCTCCCTCCACAAGAGAGAGTTTCAGGGTGCCAAACCACAAAGGTGGCTTTAACACTCTTCTGTTTACAACATTATCCTATTGTGCCAGGGGGGGGGCTGCTCATGGTTTTACTCCCTCTTCACAACCTGCGCGCCTGCGTTGTTCAATGTAAATTGTTCTTTGGGCAGAAAAATCTACAGTGAACTGCGCACGCACAGTCCCTAAAAACCAATATGGCGGTGACCCAGCAGCAGTGGGAATTACAGATTATATTTATCTATTCTAGTTATAGATGACCTTTTGGCTGTTAGGAGGCCATGTCCAGAATATCAAATTTCTCCCCTCCAAGTCTGTTTTTTAACAGAAAGCTACACCTTTCTAGTCTTCAAAAAAGAAGTCATTTATAAATAGAAGAGTGGCTGTTGAAAGAAGTTTTTGTACACAGCATTTGGCCAAGCAACAAACGAAAAAACTGAAGTTTCCCTAGAAGAATCCCAAAATTTCAGAGTGAGATGGGCGACAGATAAATTTAATAAATAAACGCTTACAATCCAAATCCAGGGCACGGAGGAGCTACGGGCCCAGGGGCATCGTGCCCTCCCTTCCCTTCCAAGGAAATGCTGGGCAGTCCAACGCAGCTGATGGGTCGGCCTTGGAGTCCCCTGCCTGACCTGAGACTTGTGGGGCCACCTCCCCCCCCCTTCTCAGGACAGCCCTCCAAAGGGCTCCGTGAAACAACAGGCGCCAGCGCTCCCTTGCCCAGGCCTGCTCGCCTCTTCGCTGTCCCGCCACTTTTTCTACCATCTCTTGTTCTAAGGTTGAACCTCCAGGGCCCCAGAAGTAACTGAGCCCCCCCAAAAGGCAACACAGCATCTCACAAAGGCTGGAACAGAACAGCTGCAGCTTTTCTTTTGCATCTCCCAGAGAAAGAGCTTTGCAAGCCCTTGGACACCCCCTTGGTGGGCTGAAACCAAGTCATCACATGGAACGCCTCCTCCCTGACCTCAGATAGTAGTGGCTAATGAAACTCAATGAAGAGGTGAGGGGGGTATCCAAGGGAGCACGTTCTTACACGCAACGCTGTGTGTACACAAATCATTTAACTATGACTAGTTGTGCAAGTCACTGGTCTGGATCACACAAGAGGCCAACCATAAAATGGGGTGGTCAACACAGGGACCCCATGTGGACAGTCCGTGTAGCCCAGCAGACAGTCTGCGGCATTCAGGCCCTCGGTGGCTGCTGCCCACATTCAGAACTAGGCTCCATTATGGCTTCAAGCGTTGCGAAGACAGGCCTCTAATTTCACACACACACACACAATGCTGGAGGCTAAGCTCCGGTCCCTTGGGGTGGGTTTCTGGAACCTGGCATGGTCTGCCATCTTCTTGGGCCAATACTAAATTTTGAGCAGCGTGCTGTGGCTTACTCAACAAATTGAGTGCAGCCTCAGTAAAGCTAATGCAGTTTTAATTTAATGTTAATTTGAATTATGCTCACTCAACAAACAAGGTATTGCTAAGACGAACACCAACATTCATTTAATTTACTTTAACGCAATCATGGGGCTATTGTCTACATTTTGCCCTTTAGCCACATTAGGAATCTCTGTGGCAGCAAATTTTGGAAGAATTCCTGGGGGGGGCGAGAGAGCAATCTGTGAGAAACTGATCCTGAGAAGCCGATTCTTCTCTTCCCCCGTGAAGTCCAGGAACTCCTGTAGCTGCCAAGTGGATTCCCAGAGGACTCTCCAAATGGAAGCAGGGAGCTCAAGCCAACCAGGTTAGCGAAATCTGATCCTGAGAGCCCATTTGCTCCTCACTAACATCCCACCCAGAAAGAGGAATCCGGGGAGAGGAGAGGATGGAAACCAAAATGAAGGATGGCCATGAATCTCAACACGCAGTAGAAGCCTCTAGAAGCATCAGGTTCTTTTCCACCAAACGCCATTTGGCCTTCCACCTTTCTCTTCTCACTCATGACAATTTATTCAGATTTTCACCTGGCTGGTAATTGTGCGTATTGGGCCCAGGGGTGTCAGTCGAGTGATCAAAAGAGCACTAAAATTCCTTATCTGAAGGGTTTTTCAATAAAAGTGGCAAAACTCTATGCTGAAATAAGATGGAAAAATGTATGTCTGATAAATCATTTATAACTGTACAGAGTTTATGAATCCTTCAATTGACCAACATGAGGTTGCCACAGATGACACGAGGTCGGACAGAAGATTCGAAAAGATCTGGGCAGCCTCAAAGATTGGCCCGAAACAAACGGGATGGAATTTAACAGCAGAAATCCTTCACAGGGACAGGAAAAAGAAAGGCACGAGATGAGGGGAAAGTTGGCTTGGCAGGAGAAGGAGGGAAAGGGATCCGAGGCAGCCGCGGGAGGGAGGCAGCCGCCACAAGGGCAAATCTTGCAGTGCCTCAACGGGAGCACAGGAAGTTACTATTCCGCCCTGGCCAGGCGCCAGGGAGAGCATTGTGGGTCCAATTCTGGGCGCCAGAAGGGATAGTGGTGAGCTGGAATTCAGGGGTGGGCTAACAGGGCGGAGGACATTCACTTAAAAGGTGTGTGTGGGGGGGCATGTTTGGCCTACAGAACCGAGGACTGCGATGCAAGAGCAGCCTCTCCATGCCACACAGAAGACGGAATGGACTTACTGTGTATCCCGCAGCCAGAACTGCTAGATTAGAATTACAAAGAAGGAGATGGGACTTCCTGAGTTCGCAAGCGATGGAGAGCCATGGAGCAGGCTACTTCCAGAGGTGGTCAAGTGGGCATGACAAAAAGTTACCAAAGCTCCGCTGACCTGTTTTTCTCTCTTGCAGGGCCTGCCAAGGCGACTACCATGGAAAGGCTGCTCCTGATCCAGCTTCTGATGGTGGGGAGCACCGTAGCTCAGGTGGAGTCCTGCCCCTTTCACTGCGTCTGCCAAAACCTCTCCGACTCGCTTAGCACCCTCTGTGCCAACAAGGGGCTCCTCTTTATTCCAGTCAACATCGACCGGCGGACGGTGGAGCTGCGCCTGGCTGACAATTTCATCCGGGTGGTGGAAGCCCCAGACTTTCTGAACATGACGGGCCTCGTGGATCTCACCCTCTCGCGGAACACCATCGACACCCTCCGGCCCTTTGCGTTCGGGGACCTGGAGAGCCTCCGCTCGCTCCACCTGGACAGCAACCGGCTGACGGAGATCAGGGAGGAGGCTCTCCGGGGAATGCTGAACCTCCAGCATCTCATCCTGAGCAACAATCAGCTGGTCAACATCTCTGGGGCTGCTTTTGATGACTTCCTCTCTACTTTGGAAGACCTGGATCTGTCCTACAACAACCTGCGCCGCGTCCCTTGGGAGGGCATCCAAGGCATGCTTTGCCTGCACACCCTGAACCTGGATCACAACCTGATTGACTTCATTATGGAAGGAACTTTTGATGAACTCTATAAACTCTCCCGGCTGGACATGACCTCCAATCGTCTTTCCACACTGCCCCCCGACCCACTGTTTGCCCGCTCCCAGATCGGGGCCATCAGCCCAACCCCTTACATGGCCACCATAATGCTCAGCTTCGGAGGAAATCCTTTGCACTGCAACTGTGAGTTGCTGTGGCTGCGGCGTTTGGCGCGAGAGGATGACATGGAGACCTGTGCTTCTCCCCAACACGTGGCTGGCCGCTATTTCTGGTCTGTGCCTGAGGAGGACTTCACCTGCGAGCCCCCTCTCATCACCCGGCACACCCACAAGCTCTGGATCTTGGAAGGCCAAAGGGCCACCCTGAGGTGCAGAGCCCTCGGAGACCCTGAGCCGGTCATCCACTGGGTCTCCCCTGATGACAAAATCATCGCCAACTCCTCCAGGACTGTATCATTCCGCAATGGCACCCTCGACCTTTTGGTGACCACCATCCGCGATGACGGGGCCTACACCTGCATTGCCATCAATGCTGCTGGGGAGTCAACGGCCACCGTGGACCTCAAAATCATCCCCTTGCCTCACCGAGGGAACGGCAGCATCACGGTGCTGCAGCAGGATCCAGGATCCTCCGACATTGCCACCTCGGCCAAGAACTCCGCCAACGCCACCCAGGAGGCTTCCGAAAAGAGAGTGGAGGTGCTGGGGGTGACTGCCACCTCAGCCCTGGTGCGCTGGCAGGCAGATAAGTCGGCCTACGTGGCCTGGATGTATCAGATCCAGTACAACTGCACTGCGGACGATGCCCTTGTTTACAGGTAAGGGGGCTGCAGTGTGGGGCCGGGGCCTGCTCCCAAGACGGAGGACTCTGCATTTCAGGTTCTCTCTCCTGGCAATGAAGGTGCCTGGCTGCCTCGGGACCATTCGGATTTCTCAGGTTACGAATGGGCCTCTCCCTAACGACATCTCTGCTGCTCACTCAGCCAGAGAGCTCCCCCCCTCGGTGTACAGCGTTGCCTTCCTCGGTTCACCCCTTTCCTCTGTTCCCACAAGGCCTGCACTGTGTCCCAGTGGGACAGCCGGCTGCGCAGGAAGGGACTGGGGGTGCAGTAGGTCGTGCAAACAGATTGCAGCAGACCCAAAAGCTCTAGGCCTTGCTCCCCGGAAACAGAGAGTCACCCAAGGGAACGGAAGCAGGCCTTGGCTCTGCTTGGTGTAAAGAGCCTGGTCCAGTTATTTCAGCAGGGTGGGGGAGGTTTCAAAGGTTCCCGCACAGGGGGAGTCAGAGGTTTCTGCCCAGCAGGAGGTGGTGGTGGTGGTGGGGGGATTAAACCACAGAGACGGCTAGCAGAATTCATTTTCTATGAACCGAATCCTTCAGCACAATATGAACAGCAAACCCAGGCAGGAACAAATCTCTTTCCTAACGGCTCCATTCTGTGGGTATTTCTAACTTTAAAACCACAGAATACGTGGATCACACCGATCCATTTCATGCCACTGGGCAGCCCAAAGAAGCCCCGGGTCTAAAGGAACTGCCTCTCCTTCCCAGAGGCAGCAGCTGGGCTTGGCAGGCAGCCCCTCCGTCCCCCTGGGCAGGGGGTCTGGGCAGAGAAGGGGCCGCTCTCTCGCCCGTCTGAGGCAGAGGCCCCCCCTCCCTG